ATTCATCCCATCCCAATCTTCTCTCATCCCCGTTGCTCTCTTTTCCCTCTCAGCCGCGACGGCCGTTGGCCTTCTTCCCCCCTCTCCCTCTCTCGTCTTCACCTTTCTTCTCTCTCTCTGCCATTTTTCCTCCTGCGACTCTGGCGCTCAAAGATCCGGACGGTGGGACGGTGTCGCTCGAAGATCCAGGTATTTCCCTAGGGTTTCGCAGATTCGTTTCTCTCTCTCTACCCTCAGTCCCTCATCGTTTTCTCTGTCTCTGGCCTCATCGTGTTTCTCTCCTCTCCGTCGTTGTCTTCTACCTTTTCCCTCGTCGGCAACGCTGGCGATCGAAGTGTTGGATGGTTGGATGGTGGTGCTCGAAGATCCAATCAGTAGGTGTGCGGTTCTGTGGCTGGGTGTGTGGGTGTGTCGTTGCTGCCATTCCTGTGGGTGTGTGGCTGGGTGAGTGTGTGAATCGAAGTGACGGCTGATCCGTGGGTGTGTGGTGGATCGATGGGTGTGGCTGCTGTTGGTGGAGGATCTGTTGTTGTGGCCGTTGTGTTTTGCTGTTGTTGGTGGCAGGTCTGTTGGTGGCGGATCTGTTGTTGGTCGTTTGGGTGGGTTGTGTGCGGTGGTGGTGATCGTGCGGTTTTGGTGGCGATGGTTGCGTTTCTGTGCGATGGGTGTGTTACTATGTGATTGTTGTGTTGTTGTACGATGGTTGGGTGTGTGCGAGTGCGGCGGGGGTGGTCGTGCTCGCGACGATGGTGGAGATGTGGCGATGGTGGTGGTGCCACTGGTAGAGGCAGTGGTGAAGTGATGGTCACTATTGATTTGATTGTTTGTGACCAATAATTTAGTTGGTTTGTGACCAGTGAATTAGATAAAAAAAAATGTGACCAATAAATGCCGTAATCTAAAAATTATTAATTTGTGACCATGGTCACAAACGATTTTGGTGGTGGTGGTCACAAATAATTTGATTGTTTGTGACCACTAATTATTAATTGTAACCAAAAAATTATTAATTTGTGACCTAAAAATTATTAATTGTGACCAATANTTCATAATTAAAAATTTAAAGAAACCTGATTTTTGAAATTTAAAACATATTTTGATATTTTTGAAATTGGTAAAAGTAAATGCCTTATTTATGTATTCTTCCCTTAAATCAACTTTTGTAGGTAGGTTGAATTTATTTTTTCAATTAAAGAATTGAAACGTGCACGACATTTATTAAAAATGACAAGGCAAAACTTGGGTCTTAGCATGTAGAGATGGCAACTAACGGAACAAGGCACGAACAGTAATCATCGTCCCTGACTCCTTGCCCCTTTAGGGATCTTAGAGATGAATGCAAGAGTAGGATGGAGCGAGGATTTAAAATATTCTAATTTATCGTCCTATTTAATTATATATTTATTTTCTATTTCTAAGTACTAAATAAGCCTATTTGAGCCCCATTTGTTTTTTTTTTTTGGCAAAATTGCATTTTTGAATAGTAATTTGATGGAAAATGTATGGTTAAAAAATAAGGAAAAATCTTGGATTTACATATAGTATTATTTTATTGAAGAACGTATGATTGAAAATAAAAGAGAGAAAAATATATTTTAGAAATTATGGGGACCAAACAAGAGGTTAAATTGAAAAGCGTAAAATAAAATGAAATACAAAATTTGTAAGAGTTTTGAGAAATTGGGTATGTGTAGGTGGCAAAAAAATTAGTCATCACTAATTACGCTTTAATATACTAGTCAGAGTTGAAAATGCATTGAACATTATTCTGAAATACTTTGTAAATGCTGTAAAAATAATATTTGATACNATGTTTTATTAGTGATGTAAAAGTAATATTTGATATCAATTTACTGGGAGAATTGATGAGTATCAAATGAACTAAAGAAAATAAAATTTATGATGAAAATTTAAGAGAATAAACTTGTATTCTCAAAACTCAACTTCTATGATTCAATTTTTTTTTTTTTTTTTGTGATGATGAAATACTACAAATTAACAACATTTTATACTACATTTGGTACATAAAAATTAATTGTTACCACATAAATTTAAATACACATAAAACTTCATAAATACATGAATAGAAATAAATTAATCTATAATAACTCCAAATTCACGTAGATCAAGATTTATCAAGTCAAAATTCATTAAGTCTAGATTAATATGAATATTAATTAATTGAGAATTAATAACACTAAATTCATAATGATTTTGTAGTATTTATTACATATTGAAAAACGAAAATTAAGGTATTATTAAAACAATTGAATTTTAATAAAGTTAAAACCGCCAAAAAAATGATTCTCACTCGATGTCATATTTAATATATTATAGATTTAGAATAGTAGATATTCTAGTTGAAATCAAGCAATTTAATTTGGTGAAAATTACACAAAACCCTACTTTTCAAGATCAATTTTCAAAAATCAGGTAGGAAGTTTCACTTTTCAAAAATTAGATATTTCATTTCTAAATTTTAAATATTAATTATACAATTTTCATCACAAACTTTAGTCAATTTCATCCCAAATCTTAGAAACCATTTCCATTTTCTTTCTCTATCCATCTCTCAGTCTTCTCTCTCTCATGTCTTCCCTGCTTTCTCTCTTCTCTCTCTCTCTACCTACTTTCATCGGCGAAGCCTCCTATCTCTGCCAGCGACGCCGCTGAGCTCATCGGGTCGATGCAGACCCGCTTCGCTCATCGTTGCACGGTGCAGGTGGACGTGCGGAGTGCTGTGGTGGTGGAGGTGTAAGGTGCAGTGCTAGGAACAGCGATAGGGTGCTGTGTGCGGTGATGTGCTTTGGTGCGGTGGACGTGTGCGGTGCAGTGTGGCGATCGGGTGAGTGATGTGGTGCTGTGCGCGGGTAGTGGTACGGTAGGAGTGGAGTTGTACGGTGCCATTAATAGGTCGTGTGTGGAGTTGTGCCGTGTAGTAAGGTAGAGGTGATGTTTGGGTGGTTTTAGTGGCAGTGGTGGATTAGGCTGCTGATGGTGGATCTAGAGTTGGTGGTGATGGATTTAACCGTGGTGATGGTGTGCTCTACGCCTTGATTTGGTGGCTATGTTGTAGAGATGAGGTGGTGGTGGATCGGCTGCTGATGGTGGATTTCTATTTGATGGTTGTGTTGTGGAGGTAAGGTGGTGGTGTGGTGGATCTGGCATGACGTAGTGGTGGTGGTGTTTTTCTACCATGTGTGATTTGTTTGTAATGGTGGTAGTAGTGGTTCTGATGGCAAGTTGGCGGTGGTGTTAATTTGTTTAAGGTGGTAATGATGGTTCGA